TTTCTTTCTTTCTTTCTTTTTTTTTTTTTTTTTTTTTTTTTTTTTTTTTTTTTTTTTTTTTTTTTTTTTTTGTGTCTGATCGAAATAACACTATCAAAAAATAAACCATACCAACCGGGATTTGCTGTCTTGGCTTATCTTTGCAAGCACCAGTGTTGTTCTAGTATTACTTGTATACAACTGTAGTATTTAATATTTTTAATTAGCCTTTATTGCTATATTATCAGTTTTAATTTTAATTTTATTTTAGTAATTTTGTTACAGGCTTTCTTCATTGGTATATATATATATATATATATATATATATATATAGTTATTTATTTGAGCTTTATTCCCATTACCAAAAACAATTTTTAATAGTTTTAGTTAATAACAACACTGTCAGGCACATGACTAGGACAACAAAACATCAACATATAAACGGACAAAGCAGCACTGGGGCCTGTTTCATAAAACAAGTTTACCAAATAAAAGCCAGGTTTATTTCAGTTAGCCTGACTAATTGTCAATTAATTTGGTTCAAAATAAGTCCGACTAACTGAAATAAGCCTGGCTTGTTTGGTAAACTTGTTTTATGAAACAGCCCCCAGGATTACATACAGAATCAACAGACGGACAACATCTTAAGAGATGGTTAAATATATTGTTTATTATACTGGATCATTTACATGTCACAACTCTCTGTTTTAAAATTGTGACACCTGTACTAGAAATCCCATTGTAGTTTATATAAAACAATACAATAATACATTGTAGCTGAGTGCAGAAAACATGGAAGATGATATCTTGCCTTTTACCATATTGCAATGTATTGTAGTGAAGCTGAAGCGCCCCAAAACGTACTTGGACACTCAAAAATGTCACTGCAATAGAACTAAATAGATTTTTCCAAGCCATTTTTCAATGGGCCTGAGGTATTTTTAGATCATCACACGAATGATGAACATGATCCATTAAGATATGAAATACCTTTTGTCTTAATTTTGCACAGTATATCTATTGTTTTACCATTGAACCCCAACAACTTGATTTTGTGAAAAGTTTTGCTTTGAAAGTGTGCTTGTGCTATATTTATTTAACATAAATGCCACTTGGGTTGATAATTTTTATCTTATGCAATGGCTTTCAGACATTTTTTTAAAGGAACAGTTCGCTCAGAAATTAAAATTTGCCATCCAAGACGTAGATGAGTTTGTTTCTTCATCAGAACAGATTTGGAGAAATGTAGCATTACATCACTTGCTCAGCAATGGATCCTCTGCAGTGAATGGGTGCCGTCAGAATGAGAGTCCAAACAGCTGATAAAAACATCACAATAATCCACAAGTAATCCACACGACTACAGTCCATCCATTAACATCTCGTTAAGTGAAAAGCTGCATGCTTGTAAGAAACAAATCCATCATAAAGATGTTTTAATTTTAAACCATCGCTTCTGGCCAAAATACGAGTCCATAATCCATAATAACACTTCCTCCAGTGAAAAAAGTCCATCTCCTGTTGTCTCACCAACATATTTGTTCAGAATGTTTTTGGACTGTTTTCACTTGTAATCAGTGCTTGATCTGTGCATATTTCTCTCCTGATTCAGACAGGCAACTTTTTCACTGGAGAAAGCAATATTATGAATAGAGGACTCATATTTTGGCTGGAAGTTTTTTTTTTATCAGCTGTTTGGACTCTCATTCTGACAGCACCCATTCACTGCAGAGGATCCATTAGTGAGCAAGTGATGTAATGCTACATTTCTCCAAATCTGTTCTGATGAAGAAACAAACTCATCTGCATCTTGGATGACCTGAGGGTGGGTACAGTTTCAGCAAATTTTCATTTTGGGTGAACTATTACTTTAAGTGTCCAGATACTTTTTGGGCTATATATAAACATGTATATATGAGCAGTTGAGAAATATATGAGCATGCAAGAAAAAGGAAGACACCTGTAACTTCTAGGTAGCACCCCCCAAAACATAAAAGAATCAAAATCAATCCGTTTTCGAGTAATGTGTCAAGCTTTTCAACTGTATCATCTAAAATAATTGAATATATCCTAGTGGATGTGGAACTGTGATCTATTTTTAATGTTCATTATAATTAATACGAGCATGTAACTCGTCAACAGCTTTTCAGCGACTGATGATTTGATTTTCACGTCAACACATCGCATACAGTCTTTGCCACTTAAGGTAATGAATTAACTCCCGATCTGAGGAAACGATCTGATGAATGGATTCACATGTGGGATAAGTGAAGCTTTCATATGAACATTACACATAAAATGCATCATTCATCAATCTAAATAATAACATCCCATCTCATCTCTGCCAAGTGGATGGAAGTCAAAATAAATAGAGTAACATTAGCTTGTCGAAATAAAATGGCATGAAAAGCAAATTGCTGGTAACTCGGGTTGTACCGAAAGCATCTCATTTCTTCTGTTTACCTGACCGCTAATAATTAAGACTTGAAGGTAATATACGGTATTCATTAACACATTATGCATATTATTGCACTTATATACACAAAATATGAACAGAGACAAACATTCTGAATGATTACACATTTTTGAGTACTATCGCAGGGCTGAATTCAGTCAAACCGCGGTTAAAGCTCACACGATTATATTGTACAAAAAAAGTGCCAAAATAGATTTAAACCATGGCCAAACCGACTGTATCTATAACAATTTTTGTGCAATATTAAAATGCTTTCTTTTTCAAATTTGTTTAGGCGGCTTGATCAAATTAGGCCCACAGTGTTCGTACAGGATTCAGAAAAGCACAGAGAAAAAATACTCTCTGGGATGTAATACCGTCACAGTATTTGTACGTCTGAAATCGTCCGAAAAGAAATGGCATGAAATTTTCCACAATGTCAAACAAACAGTGGCTGTGATGTTAATAAAACCTGAGTTTTGTTTTGGAAGTGTTGCCTATTTGTACTTGATGATGATATATCGATTCTATTCAGGTGTTTTTGTTTTGTTTTGTTTTTTATCTATTTAACATGTACATTTTCGTGGACTTACACTTCTTTTGGAGTCTATCCGATATATACAGTTTTCCGTCATATCCTAAACCGTCCCGCCGGGGTCCCGTCGCCTGTGTCATCAACAAGCGAATTCCTCGAAGTTGCCTATAGCCGGGTGACTAGGTAGCACGTTCGGCGCGAATCCG